CACTTGGAAGAAAATAATTAAAACTAAGTAGGAATTGAAATACAAGGTTTGATTTTTTATTTTTATATGAACAAAGATACAATTTACCGAAACATCCTTGGCTGAGCAGCAGCACGAGCTGCTGCTGGAGCAGGAGCAGTTATCTGGGATATCAATTAAGGAATATACACTCAGGCACAACAGCGTATGAAAACATTACTGCAGAGAAATGACACCCCTCCCAACGCCTCACAGGGAAAGCATGCAGAAAGGAAACCTCCAATTCATTTTAATGAGTTTAAACAAACATGACTGCGTTCTGCTAGGCAGAGACAGCACAGTCTCACCCAGAGGACAGTTACCCCCCTTGCTAACGAAGCCTCACAACAGCTTTGTTCATGGTATTGAAGCTTCACCCAAAGAAAGTTTAAACCTTACCTGGTGAAGTCACACGAGGTGTGAGCATGGACACAGCCCGTTGCACGCAAATGCAACCCATAGTGGCGAGTCAGAGGAAAGCAAAAGGGGTGAGAGGAGCTGCTGAGGAGGGAGATGTAAGAAGGGAAAAGCTCAGGAGACAGTGAGGAGGAAGAGGCACGTGCAGGGTGTAAGCAGTCAGTGAGAGCAGGGTGGGAAGCACCGCAGCAAGTCTCAGAGCAAAGGACACCCATACAGATGGCACTGCTGCACCAAGCTCATCAGGAGGTAAATGCTTCACCCCATACTTCGGGTCCCAGTTTCAGTGGAAATGGGACTCACAGCTGCTCAGGTTCTCCAGATGTCCAGGGCGCTGCTCCTACCCACAAAACCTCCAGGAGGGTCTTTCCCCTTCTCTTCAGGCATCACTGAGCTGATGGAGACACAGGTGCTGGCTGAACCCCAGCTGTAGTGCCCTCCTCAGCACACCTCCACCTCCCAGAACGGGGGGACAGCAGACAAGTCCACCAAGTGCTGGACTCCATTTGAACACCTTCCTCCTGGGCTTTGCAGTGCCTCTTCATCTCACTGGTTTTGCTCTTGCCACCTTGCAACACTCAAAGGACAAGTCTGGGTTGCTTGGACAACTGAAAACAAGAGGTACACAGGCTGGGAAGCAGCTGCTGCCTCCAGCAGCTCATTTTGGTGAGGACATGGAGTATTTAAACATTTCCCTTCCCCTCACACCCCCCCTTTTGGAATAATGCATTCAGAGACATGTTAGCCAACTGCACAGGCAATATAATACTTGGGTACACTCAGAAGCAAGCAAACGCTTTTGGAGAGACTGGCACAGCAAGGTTCAAGATTCAAATACCTTCATTTATTGTTCGCAGGATGCTGGGGAACACGGTTAAATTAAAAAAAAAAAAAAAAGACCTTTGTTCTAACAAGCCATTTTCAGTTTTCCAAATCCATCTCTCTTCCTGGTTCCTGCACTCTTCAGGAGAAACGCCTTCAACACAAACCTGCAAAGGAGTCAGGAAACCCAGACTTCTCCATACAACCTCCTTACCGCAGCCATCCAAGAAAAAGAAAGACATCAACCTGGGAAAGTCAAACTCTCAAATAACGTGGCAGGTAAGCTTCCTTGTATGCTTGCAGTTTGAGGCAAAGTCACCAAGTGCAAACGCTGCTTTTCCTCTCAGCTCAGTTCAGAGCTGCAGATGAATTCACAGGTGTAAGAGCAAAGTTCTTGCAAAGACAATTGTGAATGTGGCTTTTTCTCTGTTAACACGTTTCAGTTGGTGAGAGAGGAGGCTGGGGATACCGAGTGCAGCACTCTTTGCTTTCTTACGTCAAGCATCCAAGAAACATCTCCAGGATCCTCCATGCCCCATTTCAGGCTGTGGAAGAAGACTGTGCCTTGCGCTTTCCAGATCACGACATAGCTGATGTGGAGACCACTGTTGCTTTCCACTCACCCCCCTCCCTTCCCACCCCAGCCCAGATCAGAAAGGATACAGGAGCAGGGGCTGCACCCAGCCATGGGGATAAGTGCCATAGGACAGCGTCCAGCCAAGTAGTTGGGTTTGGCTTTTTCATGATGACTTTGATGATGAGAAGACAGCACCAAGAGCCCAGCTTGCCACCCAGCACTTACAAGGTCTGCACAGCACTCAGGGTGGAGATTGAGATGACAGTCCCCGGGTGCCGTTTGCTCCTCTTCACCTCCTCTGTGCATGGGCTAGAGCCTGTGCATGCCTAGGAGCCTCTCAAGAAGCTGTGGGTCTCACCACCCTGGCTGGGCGACGGGCAGGAGTGAAGGAACAGGAAGGTTTGGGAACAGGAGAGCTTGTTGCTAGAGGCTGGGAAGTAGGTGGGGAAAGTTCAAGCATGCTTCTACATGCTCCCTTTCCTGTACTCTGCTCATTCGCAGCTGCCTGCAGCTGCCGTGATGGCTGCGAGGACATAGCCAACAAGCGTGCAGAACCCAGCGCCTGGCGCACTCAGTCATGCATCGCATCTGTGCTGGCACGGGTGGTTTGCTAAGTTAAACAGCATGATGGCTCCTGTCCTCTAAGAGTGCCCTGCTGGGAAAGAAAAAGCCTGGAGGGGAAATCCTGGAATAGGGCGAGAAGGAAAAGTGAAGCTAGCTTAAAAATGGGGAGCTGCAAACAGAGGTTGCAAAGGCCTTGTATTCCTCTCAAGTTGGGACATGCTTAAAAATTATGTATTCAATGTACACTGTCCTTAGCAGTGCACTTAGTACTCTCATCTGCCTACATTAACTCCATGAGTGATATTTGAGAGAAGATAAATATTGAGATTGAATATGGAGCCATAACAGACCTGCAGCACAGTTCAGAAGATGACTTTTGTCGTGGTTTTGGCTGGGGTAGAGTTAATTTTCTTCATAGTAGCTGGTATGGGGGCTATGTTTTGGATTTGTGCTGGAAACAGTGTTGGTAACACAGGGATGTTTTTGTTACTGCTGAGCAGTGCTTACACACAGTCAAGGCCTCTTCTGCTTCTCACACCACCCCACCAGGAGCAGGCTGGGGGTGCACAAGAAGTTGGGAGGGGACACAGCCGGGACAGCTGACCCCAACTGACCAAAGGGATATCCCACACTGTATGACGTCATGCTCAGCATATAAAGCTGGGGGAAGAAGAAGGAAGGGGGGACGTTTGGAGTGATGGCGTTTGTCTTCCCAAGTAACCGTTACGCGTGATGGAGCCCTGCTTTCCTGGAGATGGCTGAACACCTGCCTGCCCATGGGAAGGAGTGAATGAATTCCTTGTTTTGCTTTGCTTGTGTGTGCGGCTTTTGCTTTATCTGTTCAACTCTCTTTATCTCAACCCACAAGTTTTCTCACTTTCACCCTTCCGATTCTCTCCCCCATCCTGCTGGTGGGGGGAGTGAGCGAGCGGCTCTGTGGGGCTTAGTCGCCAGCTGGGGTTAAACCATGACAATTTTTGACGTCTTTGCACATGTGCCCTGTTGCCACCACGCTGTAAAGCCTCACTGCTCCTGCAAAGTGGAATTCTGCCCCACCACGTCACAGTTCAGACTAGCTTGTGCCATCGGTGTGACGGTCAGTTCATCCTCACTTTTCCCTCAAGCTCTATGCTATGAAGCAGATGCTGCTGAAAGGTGGGGTTTGTCCTGCTGGAATTTGCTGTCCCTTCATCTTTCCCTTTCCCTGGGCCGACTTCACAGCCCACGGGTCAAGGCACTTGCTGCAGGAGGGAAGGTGGAGGTACGGCTCTTGCTGCAAGAACCAGGAGTGGATTGAATGCAGCATGTCCTCATTACAAACTGGGGTCAGCTTTCCTTCAGTCTCTTCTGACTCCAAAAAAGGTGGAGGCCACAGGCTGAACTTGGTCCTTCTTTCGGCAGGGCTCTTCCTTTTTTTCACATGAGCTTTTCACAGATTAGCAAAAAAAATCCCCTTTCTGGTGGAAATAGCTTGATACTTTGGGATTGCAAAAATCATTGGGGGAGGGGTAGTGTGTTTGGGAACAGCAATGTTTGTCTCCAGGTGGGAACCACAGCCCAGACACCTCACCGCACCACCAAGGGTTTAGAACCCGCACAATAACTGTGCTCAAACCTTGCCTTGTTTAAAACGCATACAAACAAACAAGAAAACCCATAGACGCTGCGGGAAGAGGAAGAAGCACAAACCCCTCTGCATTACGTTGTCATGTATGAAATGACTGCAACAGCTTCCACTTGCAGCCGCTTGTCTAGGCAGTCCACCATTGAGCCTTGTGGGTTGAGGACAGGACAGTACCTGATCTCCTGTCTCGCCTGAGTGACCTCCCGAGCCGCAAGATAACAGAGCAGAAGGAGCCACAAGGGCCCGTCAGTGCAGCCTTTGGTGCTGTTTTGGAAGGGGGGAGTGGAAAAGAGCTGAGGATGGCTGTTTTGCACTGGGGTATTCAACGACGCACCCACCGCCAGAATTTCTGAGCAGCAGAAATAACACAACACAGCCCTCAAATACAGTTTTGCTCTTATTTAATCTGTATTTCAAAAAATAGATTCTGAAAGCAAAAGAATCTTTCAGAAAGCAAGGAAAAACATTGTGAAAGGCGAGAGGATCATTTCAGTGCATGTCGCTCCACCCTGCCACCAGTGCATCCTGAGGAGCACCCAACCGCCTCCCCGACCTGGCAGCAGCAAAAGGCACCTTTTCCCAGGCCCGCCAGACTCATTTCACACAGACTTGAATCAGTTGTGCAAGGCCAACGGGACGCTGGTTTGCTTGCCCAGTAGCTCCCAACTCTGTCAGCCACATATTTCACTTGTGCCAGCGCTGCTCGTTAAGATATGATGCCACACCAGGTCATGTCTGAGGAACTCTACTAGCGATCATGTTCCTCAATCCCACTTTTTTTATGTGAGTGGTTGTTGCTTCCCCTTTATCCAGTTCCTTACACGGTTGATTCTGCTGGTACCAATATCCCCACCTTCATCAGCTGTACTAATGACTTCCCATGTGAGCTCATACTGAGGGCTTGCGTGAAACTCAGATTCATTTTCTTTCTTTTGCATGGAAAAGGAAGCTGGAAACATTAAAAAACATACCCTTGCATAAATTCTTGCATAATATCTTATACTAGTATAGCATCATTCCAAAGATGTGCCATGTGAGAAACTTTTAAAAAACAAGAATGAAAACATCAAGAAAATCAAGGTGTTCTTTCAAGAACTTAATTCTTCAATTGTCTAAGATAACCACAACAAATCTCTGTTTTTCTAGGTTAGGTTTTCCTTGATGTACATCAGCTGTTCAACCTCAGTGCAATTATTTTGTATTAGCATAAAATGATTTTGCGATGCAGCATTTGGCTAAGTTACCAATACAGTGGTCAACAAAGCACACATAATTCTGCCTGCTGAGGCAGAGTCTGCGCTCTCTGATCAGAGAAGCTTATTCTCAGGCACGTGTTTTCCATCCTGCTCTTCAGAAGTTGTTCTACAGGTTAATTCTTTCCCCTTGCACAAGCCGTGCTCGGAAGTTCCAAATATCCTTCAAAACAAAAATGAGACAAAGGAAAATCCTCAAGGGCCAGCAAAAACAGTGACCAGGATTCCACTTTACAGGGATGGAAATAGATACAGCATTCTCAGCTTAGCTACCTACCCATAAAAACATACCAAAACACTTACTGAGTATCCTTTTGAACCCTAAATATCAAGAACCAAAATGCAGCCCTGACTAAGAAAGAGGTGCAACCTCCACCCCCAGGAGATAGGTTGTTTGCAGGTGTGACACGGACTGCAAGATGCCCACGGTTCAATTCTGGAAGGTGGCAGAAGAGGAAACATGAGCAGCACAGAGAACACTACCCTTACAGAAGTCACCCTTGCGTCCTTGTGCACACAGTGCCTCCCGTGTGCGCCTTTGCGTGATCAAAAAAGCTCACCGACTGACTACACCTTGCATACTGCTGCCCCTGAGCAAGGGATATTCCTTGAGCAGCAGAAACCAGCAGGAAATAAAGGAAAATCCACCTGCCGTTAGGAGGGGAAACTGTAAGAACTGTGGACGTACAAACTGTGGACGAGCACTGAATTTATTGCACTTTCTTATACTTGCAAATTCAGGGCAAGAGATGACCACGTCTTCCTATTTACATCGTGCAGTCCAAATATAACTGCAAAGAGCTCTGGTTCAGACACACTCCCCACAACAAACCGTGAACCAGGAGATTCAGTGAAGGGCAAAGCTTGCATAGACTTCACCCCATTCCTGCCTTGCCACGTTAGCCCTCCCCACTGCTACCCGGTGGGGCGAAGTCTAGACCCCCTCGAATGGTATAAGAAGTGCATGTGAGCAGCCTCAGAGCTGAGCCTTCAAGACAGCAGAGTCTGTGGCTCCTCCTCACTCATGCTACAACATCAGCCGCATAATGAAGCGCTGATCTAATCTGCACCAGCTCAGCCGGCACTGGAAGGGATCAAGGCGCGCTCACAAAACCCATTTTGACAAGTCGAGCTGGAGGAGGAACTTCTAGAGCTCAAGGGATGTGGAGGGGCTGCCTAGAGAGCAAGGCCACTTTCCAGCATAGCAAGAAGCAGCCTTATGAGCAAAAGGGTCCTCAAAAAGCCCGCTGGTCATCCTCTGAACATCAGGTCTTTTATTCTGCCAAGCACCTCTGCTTTGCACAGCTTGAGCTGCCAAACCGGGCATAGCAAAAAGGACAAATCTGTCACATGAGGGAGGCTTAGGGAAGGGAACTGACCTGGATTGTAACAAAGGGCATATAGCCAAGTCTTACCCTGAGTTCCACGGAAGTCGCGTTGTATTTCTTGCGAACCATTTCCACAATTTCTTTCTCCAGGTGCTCTTGATCTGTGTTCTTGACATCAATGTAGTAGCACTGTGAGCTGGCAAAGTGACAGCTTATACTCTGCGTGAGGAAATGGGGCATCACTCACTACCACATCGATTACAAATGACTGGTGGAAAAAAATCTCGTATATCCCAGATCGTGGACACCCCACCCCTTCCTTACAGATCATGTCAGCAAATTCCCTCCTCCTTTCCGAGCACTCCTGCTCTCCTGAGTGTCCCCTTGGAGAAATACTCTTGCTGGAGAAATACTCTTGCTTGCTGACGTGCTCTTCTTCCTTCCCTCCTCTCCCAAACACTCCCCCAGCATGAACTGTACTACTTGATCTCATAATATCAGCTTACTAGAGTGGGAATAGGGAAAGTCAGGGTTGGAGCAGAATGTGTGTTCAGTCAGGGTTCTTACTTTCTGCACCCAGACAGTCACATCAACGCACTTACTTTGTAATCAGTTCTTGCTTAAGCAGAGTCTAGAGGAAATAAATAGAAATGCCCCACCAGAAAAAGCTGTTCTCTCATTACACGAGCTATGCCAGCTGCAAGCGAGATCATGCCAGATCTCAAAGGGTGCTGGACCATAACCGGCTCAGAGAGCTCCAGGATACTCGCTGATTTACCCCAAAGGCAGACAAATGTTGGGATTTGGCACAGTATGCGGAAGCTTTTGTGCTTCTGTGGGATGCTAAACAGGACTATTGCTCCACTGGCCAGGAAAGAGCCAGCAGATGAGACTCTCAGTACTTGATGTCCTCTCTGCTTTCAGGATTGCAGGAGGAAGGAATTCCACACCAGCAAACTGCTACTGGGGCTGAAAGAACGGGCAATATAGTAGCTGATGCAGGCAAAAGAAAATAAAAATAGAGCAGTCTGTGTTGCAGTGCATGAGGGAAATATCTGCATTGCTGCTAGTGGCTACACTAGAGGCTACAGTTCCCTTACGTGCCTGGATGAATCCACTTCTGAGAAAGGATCAGGCCTCCAAAGAAGGACTCTTTTGCCTGTTTCAGTTAAATAATCATGATGCAAAACAGATGATGCATAATCAAATCTTTAATAGAAAAATGGGTCGTGTTATCATATAAGTAAATATTTATCGGATGATGGAGGCTCCTGCTATCCAGAGATGAGATACCAAGAAGGCAGGGGGAATAAAGTTAGAGGAGCTCCTGATATTTGGGACAGCTGAAAGGGAACTATTGGAAAAGCACGTACAGCCAGCCAGGCTTCAAACATAAATTCAACATCTAATTTCTACTCCTGTTCTGTTTTTCTCAAGCAGCCCCACAGCATGCTCTTCTCCCAAAAGACAGAGATGTTTAAAAACAAAAAATAAAAAAGAGAGTGTAAAAAATATATTAGGAAGCTAAAAGCTCATTAAAAAGTTCATCCACATATTCATAAGCTTGGAAAGTGGGGGGCTAGTTTGATCAGTTTTAAAAAAAATCAAAAATGTCAAAAGCTCTATCAAGAGATGGTTTCCTACCTTTCGGAAACCTGGTGTCTTGTTTATCCCAGAGCCATGAATGAGCAGGGGATGGAAGAACACCGTGTCTCCCTTCTCCATGACAAGGTGAACCCTGGGACTCTTCTCATCATAATCCAGCAGCCCATGGAAAAGTTTGTTGGCTTTACCCTAGAAAAAAAGGCTGAGTTGAAATCATTCGGTTAAAATTAGATGAGGTGCCGATTCTCAGTGCAAGGGACAGCAGGGACAGGTACCGATCTGCTTTCCTCTGGGCAGCGTATTCGGTATGCCCAACTAAGAGCCTGCCCACTTGCCTACAAGTCTTCCTACTTCAAGCCTAAGGTACAGCAAAATACTTTTTCTATTTTCTGAAGCTGGATTCAGACAATTAAGAACACTTCTCGGCTCGAGAGAACAGAGAAGAGCGCTGGGGAATCCCACAAGTGCAGCCTGATGCCACAGCTGGGGTCCAGCCTTCTGCTCCCAGTATAACCCTCACCAATGCCAGGCCAGGTCAGGAAACATCCATTCTTAAGAGGAAGATACTGCTTGATATTTAATTGCATCCAGTTGTTTACTATCCAATTTCTCTTCTTCAGGACAGTACACATCCTCACCAGACAGGAACAAATTCACAGGAGGAGCAAGAGTCCTCAGATTTGGCAAGGGCAGTGGAAAATGGTTGTATGTGTTTATGCCGTTATGCCACGACGTGCTGGACAATTTCTAGGTGAAGGTGGGAACAGAGGCAAATCTACCCAGGTTACATGGAGTGAGGCCAGCCAAGCAACTCTCTCCCAGAGCAACAAGTCAGTGTTTGCTGTGCTGGTTTTGGCTGGGATAGAGTTAGTTTTCTTCATAGTAGCTGGTATGGGGCTATGTTTTGGATTTGTGCTGGAAACAGTGTTGATAACACAGGGATGTTTTTGTTACTGCTGAGCAGTGCTTACACACAGTCAAGGCCTTTGACACAAGCGAGCGGCTGTGTGGTGCTCAGTTGCCGGCTGGGGTTAAACCACGACAGTTTGCATAAACAGAAAAACTGTCACTGAAAACCTCAGCTTTGACCTGCGTATCATCCCTCCACAGTGAGCTCTCCCCAGCCAAAATGTGGTCCCCACACGCATGCCCTCCCCAACCCCCAGTGCTGCTCTACCTCCGACTTTGGATAGCCGTGAGGCTTCAGGGGCTCCTTGTGCGTCCCTGGCTGCACGACCAGGCAGCCGTTGTCCTGGTCAGCCCTCTCCATGGCGGTCCAGGAGCACACAATGCGGTCCGCAGGCCGGAAGGGGAAATAGTGCAAGTCCTGATGCATGGGGTGGAGGAAAGTCTGTTTATCTGCAACACAGGTTCAAAACCTTTAACCTCATCAAACGTGACACAGCCTTTTCCTTCCCATTAAACCATTGCAGTTGTTGTAACGTGTCCTAAGAAGCTGCTGCTTGCCACTGGAGAGACTGTGTACTCAGTGTCTGCTCCAGCCCACCACTGACTTGGAAGCCAAATGGGTTAGCTTATACCCCATCCCAAGATGGGGGTATAAGCTTGAATACTGTGTTCAGTTTTGGGGCCCTCACTACAAGAAGGACATTGAGGTGCTGGAGCGTGTCCAGAGAAGGGCAACGAGGCTGGTGAGGGGTCTGGAGAACAAGTCTTATGAGGAGCGGCTGAGGGCACTGGGGTTGTTTAGCCTGGAGAAAAGGAGGCTGAGGGGAGACCTCATTGCTCCCTACAACTACCTGAAAGGAGGCTGTAGCGAGGTGGGTGTTGGTCTCTTCTCCCAAGTAACTGGCGATAGGACGAGAGGAAATGGCCTCAAGTTGCGCCAGGGGAGGTTTAGATTGGATGTGAGGAAAAATTTCTTTACTGAAAGAGTGGTTAAACATTGGACCAGGCTGCCCAGGGAAGTGGTTGAGTCCCCATCCCTGGAGGTATTTAAAAGACGGGTAGATGAGGCGCTTAGGGACATGGTTTAGTGGGCATGGTGGTGTTGGGTTGACGGTTGGACTCAATGATCTTAGAGGTCTCTTCCAACCTTAATGATTCTATGATTCTAAGATGGACCAAGACCACAGTGGTGGCTCTCAGGTCAGCAATGGCATGGGGACACAGCAAATGCCAGGAGGCTGCCTGCCTGTGCAGTCCCTCGTAAGACTCCTGTTGCTGACCTTCACCACTAACAACCCCCTGCCAAGTTTTCAGCATTCACTTTGGCTGCTCTCCAGTCTCGTGAACTTTAACCAGCACAGTGTTGCACAAACCTTTCCCAGTACAAAGACTTTCAAACAGCCGTGCTGTCGGTAGTCACTTGATCTATCGCTGTGTTGCAAGCAGAATCAACCCTGTCTGTGCTGCACCCAACACATGTCTACTTAGTCTTCATTTTAAAAAAAAAAAAAAAAAAAAATCTCAATTTATGGACTGCAGCCTCCCCAGATAGTCTACCCAGCACTCTACTAGACTTCGCCCTAGAGGCTTTTTTCCATGAAGTCTAAAAAAAAAAAATACTTCTGAAGTTTTGTTTGTTACTTCTTTTCCCACTATGGAAATGGAAACATATCATCTACACCAAAACAGCCTTTTATATATTATTTATATATTTATTTTGCCATTGAGTTTGCTCGTCAAATAGATATAGTTAGGATGTTTCCACTTGGCTCATTTGCCATATTATTTAGATTTTGGGCAGCCTCGAATACTCTCCTGAGATTTGCACCCCTCCTAAAGTACTCCTCAAAGATACTGAATGGAGACCTTGCAAATATGGAGCAGCTTCCCATTTCTTGTCCGTTATTGTTTTGTTTTTAACTTTAAAAATATATGGTCTTCTCTTGAATTTCCAAACCAAAGTGACACAGCTTTCTGTGGAACATTTAAGATAACCAGTGGAGATGACTTGTATTTTAATAACTCAACGTATCTGCTCAGAAGCTGCACACCTGAGAATAAGAAACATAGCTCAGGTCTCAACTTCACTAAACCAAAACAGCTTATGCAGAGTCAAAGCTACTTTGAAAAACTGTAATATGGTTAGTCCGGTTCTCTTCCTCTCTCCCTGCCCATCACCCTTGTATAAATTATGATCTCAATTTCCAGCAGCAGGAGCCAAAGCCAGGCTTCAAAAACCTTCTTTTGGCACCTATTCAAGTATCTTCATATCAAAGCGCTGAGCATGCAACAACTGTCAGTGAGGTCAGGAGTGTATAAACTCCAAGCAAAGGATGATCTCTGTATTTATTGCCTTTTACCGAGGTCCACAGAAGCACTAATTTTCAACACATTTGAAAAGTCAAGCTTGAAAAGCATGTCATGTTTTAAACCCTGGGCCTTTATGCAAGTGCAGCTGGCTGAACAGGGAGCTCGCTTGCCCATTTTGAACGCATAAGTGGTGCAGCCAAGACAACCACTATCTTTAGCAAACAAACATCCACTGAACATTGAAAGACAAGAAACGTTGTCTCATTAAGCCAAGGTTAAAAGAAAAACTATTACCAGAGTGGCCTCATAAATTTTCAAAGTTATTTCGTTTTAATTTGTCTCATTTTTTTCAAATAGCTTTTCTAAAACACTAAGTTCAATTTTGGCCAGATAGACAGCACACACACCACAATTTCTCTATTTTCCTCTTATCCAAGTTTTCCTTACCAGAATCTGGAAGTTTATTTATCAGCATGGTGTGCATTGCCATGATATTTGGCCCTGTGAAACACTCAACATATTTGAGGACCTACAGGGAAGAAAAAATTAGAAAAAAATATTAGAAACATGAAAGACAAGAGGAAAGATTGCTGAGGAAGCACTGGGACCTGGATGTTTGGCTGAGGACTAGGGTACAGGAGGAGGAGGTCGGGATGGAGGGATGCAGGACAGGAGGCAGGATCCGGCGTGGCACACAAACGGGCATGGTGGTAGGAGGCCAAGGTGGAAGATGGCACACCAGGCTGCTAGGTGGGTTGAAAAGATGGGGAGGGTCGTAATTCCACAAAGCTATGGCTGTCTGCCACAACATGAATATTGGCTACAAAGCTGGACCTGCCCAGAGAGCGGATGCTTTGCCTGGATAAAAGACATTCAGAAAATGTTGCTGATCTGCCCTACTAGCCTGGCATGGTTTGGGCTAGTCACATTCCTGACTGGCTTCGCACCACAGGAGTGGGGGAGCACTGCTTTAAGTCTTCTGCCCCGACCACCATCCATCCAGTGTTCATGCAGAACACTCTTAAAAGATGGCTTGATATTCCTTCCTTGCGTATGTACCCATGGGAGTGACACACAGGGGCTCTAAGGGACAAAGGATATAGCTTTAGCGGAACCAAAAAAAAGCTTCTTCACATAGGCATTAAAACATAGATACATTCACATAGGCTCCTCCACCACCATTCCCCTTTTTGTTGTTTTTTTAATTTTACCTCTGGCAGAGTACAGTATCTGAACAACTCTTTGTCTTCCTGGAAGTCCTGCACTTTATTAACTACTTTTTCAGACTGACCATACTGGGATCTCAGGGACTCGTCTTTCATAATCATAGCTCCCGGTGGATTGACCTCTTTTGTACAGATCCTCATGAACTCCTTCCTACAAAGCAGAGGGAATATCCATGTTGGGAGAGTCCAGCTTCCTCCAGCTTCCCAGAGCTCCCTCGGGATGCTGCTGCACACAGGACCCCCAGCACCTTAGGCAAGTGCCCCGTACCTGAAGCGCTCAATGTCTTTGTCAGAAACGAGCTTCTTAAAGAGCAGATACCTGTTGTCTTCATAGAACTGCCTTTGCTCTGTGGTGAGGACATCGTTGTCCAGGGTATAGCTGAGACACAGAGGAGAAACACGTTAGTAGGGCTGGGCAGAGCAATGGGAGCACCGATGGCGAGACCCAGCAGGAGGACGGTGCCATGCGGGGGATCGGTGGCTGCTGGGGAGAATTGGTGAGAAACCCTCCTCACTTGCATGTCCACCTTGGCTCTGCAGGCGTGCAGTGTTTCCCATGCCCCAGCAGAGCCAGCATGGTGTGGCCGTGGCCGTGCAGCATCTCTGCCCACAGCCACCCACTACTTCTGTGACAGAATTCAAAGCATCCCCCTCATGCCCTCCCAAAGTGGAGAAGCAAGCAGGAAAGCTGGAATCGGTCCTCAGCAGCTTTACTCTCAACAGAGATACTGAAGCACACGGGAATAGTCTCTGCAGTCAGATTATCCACTCAGACATTTTCAAGATGCATAGTTAAGCTTTTTTATTAAACTACAGTTAAACGAAGGAGAATATAACCTTGCAAAATGAAAGGCTAACCAATGTCTAGTGATCAAAACGTGTGCTAGGGTGGAAAAAGAATTGAGTTCTGCAGGTTTGGGGTTTTTTTTTATCTCTACAAAGGAAGAGACAGCTTACCAAAACCTCCCTGGTTGAGGAACAGCACTGACTTGGGCTGAAGTAGGAACGCTTGTCTGGGATGGAAATGAAGGAATATACACCCAAGCACAACGGAGTAGAAGAACATCTATACACATGCGTTCTGAATCCTACAATGCAGTTCATCTTAAAGATAAGTGCTGTGCTGGACCTCCAATTCATGTTCTCGTTTATTTTGCTTCTAAAAAAATCTTTCCCACCTTTGGAATAGCACGTCTGGCAGAGAAGTATAAAATAACAGCATATTACAGCCTTGTCCACGCATATAGAAAAGTCAGTACAAAGTGCCTGAGACTCCAGAGTAGTCCACAGGCCTCGATTCATCTCCCAGAACATCAAGACACTCAATGAGATGCTCAGTGGAGATATTTACTTGCCCAATTTCCCTCCCTATGCTCCAGAGAGCAGCCAGACCTACCCAAAACTTGCGTTGCCTCCTGGAGGTGCTTCTCCATCTCTCCCCTCCTAACATCCACACGCCAAATTCGGAGCAAGAAGTCATATGGTGTGAACCTGGGACTTCACATGTGAAGTGAAGTGAAGTCACCATGCGGTGAAGAACCCTCACCTTCTCTCCAGTTACTGCAGAAATTAGGTCCCTCCCAAACTTGATAGGGAGAGCACGAAGAGAGGAGAGCTACGGGCTTGTCCTCCACCTCAATTCATTTCAACATGTTTAAATAAACACAGTTGTGTTCTCCAATGCAGAGAGAGGCATTCTCACCGACAGAGCAATTAAACCCCAATTAAACCCCACTTGCTTATGAAGCCTTACAGGAGCTTCGTGCATGGTATTGAAGCGTCACCCAGGGGCAAGGACAAAAAAAAAAAAAAGAGCATTTTCATGCAGATCTCTGGGTCTGCACATGCATGTTTGGAGACCCCCGTGCTTCAGGGGTTTATGTAAAACAAAGACTTTCCTCTACTGCTCACCACTACCTTTTAAATGTGCCATAAAAGCATGCATGCTTCTGGAATAAGAAATAGGTTTCATCACAACAGTTGTGTCTATGGTCCCTACACCAGGAAGCTTAAATGTTAGCTGGTCAAGAGTCGCATACAGTGGGAGAAGAAACACAACACATGCAAAAATGTATAGCAAAAATGATAAGCCAGAGGGAGGAAAAGGTGCTGAGAACTGGATGGAAGAGAGAGGGAAGGAAGAGAACATGGGGAGACCAGGTGGAAACCACCACAGCAGGTCCCAGAGCAAGGGATTCCCCAACTGAGGGCACTACTGCTCCACACACCATATTTCAGGTCTAATTTCAGTGAAAATGGGACTCCTGGACATTCAGGCTCCTAAACGTCCACAGACAGCTGATGGAGACACAGGTGCTGGCTGAACCCCAGCTGTAGTGCCCTCCTCAGCACACCTCCACCTCCCAGAACAGGGGCACAGCAGACAAGTCCACCAAGTGCTGGACTCCATTTGAACACCTTCCTCCTGGGCTTTGCAGTGCCTCTTCATCTCACTGGTTTTGCTCTTGCCACCTTGCAACACTCAAAGAACAAGTCTGGGTTGCTTGGACAACTGAAAACAAGAGGTACACAGGCTGGGAAGCAGCTGCTGCCTCCAGCAGCTCATTTTGGTGAGGACATGGAGTATTTAAACATTTCCCTTCCCCTCACACACCCCCTTTTGGAATAATGCATTCAGAGACACGTTAGCCAACTGCGCAGGCAATATAATACTTTTGGAGAGACTGAAGCACAGGCACAGCGAGGTTCAAGATCCCCAGAAGCTTTTCCAAAGCATCTCCCTGCAGAGTCTCAAGGGATGGTGCAAACTCCTGCATATCTAAGACAAGCACGGTAAACTTGCGTAGTTCTCTTAGAAACCATCTCACAGACACCTGGTGCTCTGTAGCTCCTGGCCTGACAGCCACCGCTCTGCCAGCAGCATCAGGGTTTCACCTGAAGAAGCCAAACACCCAAATCACTCAAGAGGTGCAGTTGCTTTCTGAATCTCCCATTTGCCTGCATTTTGAGGAAACCTTCACTTCTATGGCCGGTGTACTGTTTTTTTTCCCAGTGTCCCAAACCAGGCAGCACCCAAGCTGAATTCACAGCTGTAGGAATGCAGGTTTTCTACAGGCACTTGTGAATGTGGCTTTTTCTCGGCTGCCTTCCTGTAAGGAGATAAGCGCTGGTGTTACCGATGCAGCACTCCTCTCTGGCTCCTATGTCAAGTTCCCAAGAAAAATCTGCCACATTTCACTTTCTGCTGCTTCCTCTCCTTCCTGAGGCCACACGTAAGGACCCTGAGCAGGCAGAGTTTTTCCACTGTTGTGTAGAAATAACTCATCTTCCAATAAACCAGTACAACCAACATACACCAATCTCTAATATACCGACCCCTAAAAGCAACTACAGGAGGAAACTAGGCATGTGCAAAATGGTATTAAGCTCTCTATTATGCAGGTTTAATTTTAAATAAACAGAGAGCATCAGGATGCTCTCTTCTCCAGGTTGGGAAGGTTGGAGCCTGGGGCGAGCCAGCAGAAGGCAGTTAACCCCTGCTGCAGGGCTCACTAAGCAGAGAGAAGTGGGGGTGCACCTCTGCACCCCAGCAAGGCAGTGCAGAGACCCCACGGGCTTTCACATTTTATGTCTCTATCAAGTCATTTCTATTAAGATATTTCTCCCGTCAGAAAAGGGAAGGCATTTTCTGGAAGGGAAATTGACTGTCCTACCCAAGTAACCAAGCCAGAGTTTACAACAAAACCACTGCACTGAGGTAGCATATGTCAAATGAATCTATTCTTACTAGATTCTGTCATTTATTTTATCCACACACCTTTCTTGTTCCAGCCCAATTTTGCCATATTTTTGGCCAAAGCTCTATGCATCAGGAACATTGTAGCTGGATTTAAAAACAAAACAGCTTGCGCAGCACCTTTCCTTACTTACTCTTCTCTTTACAACCAGGGTGCTTTTCCTAGCATTTATTTCCAATTTTGTATTCCTACTTGCACCTTTGTCTTATAGCAGTCTGAGTCAACTACTGTCCATCTGTCTTCAAGTTTTTAATGTAATTGAAGACTCCTACATCCTGTTTGATCACATCCTCTTTGCTAATTTATTATAATTCAGAGGTAACTTGTCAGCACTCAGTTCTCACCGAGAAACAGCAGCATTTTAAAATTTTTTTTTCTTTTTTTTTTTTTAAAAACCCACGACATTTAGGGCACCAGCTTTAAAAATACTATCAGCAAGCAGTCTTCATTTAACTTTTGGAAACATGGGACAGACCAATGTGAAAACTTCTTTCTGTCCTGGTTTCCTTTCTCTGATCTGTCATAAAGCTGTCAGCCTCCAACATTTCCACCTCATTTCCCACTCACAAACCAAGCCTTTATGTTTTTCCTGCTGCCGGTCTACCAGTCAAGTCTGTACCTCTCAACAGAGTCTGAGACTCACTGTGCAATTGCTAAGCCTCGCAGAGTTTATCTCCCCCAAACCCACGAATCTCTAGAAGGAAAATTTGCTGCAGGTAACCTCCATGCTCAGTGCCGGGGAGAGGTGCCGGGGGGGCCTGCCAGGAGGCAGCTGGCCCATCAGCGGCACATCCCCACGCCTGACAGGTTGCAGGGCTGAAGCTCAGGGAGAAAGCACCAGGCAGCAAGAGGTTTTCGGGGCAGGCCAGGTGCTGACTCCAAAACCCCAGCCGGAGCTGCCAGGGGAAGCGCTGTCCTGGTGCATCCCCGCTCGCCGAAGGGCTGCATGGGGCACAGCCCCCCTGCATGTCACCACCCCGTAACCACGGCAGGGGGCTGGGACACTGCCCACATGTCCTTCCCGGGCAGGGTGTCCTTGTAGGACAAACCACCACCAAACCCCTCCTTGGTGCCCATGTACACACAGGCACGCAGGGTGTGGGGAGCGATGTGCAAAGCTCGCTGGGGCGGGGGAAGCAGAGCCCTGACCCCAATGGGGCCAACATCCCGCTCCATCCCCCCTTCCCACCCTACATCAGAAAGGATACAGGAGCAGGGGCTGCTCCCAGCCGCGGGGAGAGGTGCCGGAGGATGGTGTCCAGCCGAGCCGCTGGCCCCGACCGTTTCCTGAGCTGCTCCATTGTGCCCGGGCAGCCGGAGCGCTCAGCCCCCAACCTTGACCCTATAAACACAGCCAGGAGGAGCAGGGCCCTGTTGGCGTCTGCAGCCTTAGCCTCGGCTGCACATGCGCCAGCAGCGGTGCATGCTCAGAAAGGCTGCAGAAACCCTGCCGGGAGCCAAGGGCTGGCAGGATTTGCAAATGGGAGGGCCTGCTGGCGGCTGGGACGTACGTGGGGAAAGCTCAGCGCACGCTTTTGCACGTCCCCTCCCTTCCCGTGTTTTTCCCCTTCTCTGCCAGCAGTTACTGAGCTGCAAGGATTTCATCAGCCCTGTGCAGAGAGCAATGCTTGGCGCTTTTGGGCACAGACCACGGCCGAGGCCGGCACGGATATTTTCTTTATTTCCTGTCCCTAAGGAGACTATCAGAGCTTGCCTTGTCCCTCCATGAATCAGTTTGGAGAGATTTTTACGGCCCCCCTGTCATCCCGGTGTGGTGGCGGAGCGTGTTTCCCAAGTACCTCATTTGCACTGATACAGATCTGGGATATCTGCAGCCTGCATCAAATCCCCAGCTGAGGCTGGGTGTTGTGCTGGGTGGCCTTTCTGTCCAGCCTTCTGGGACAGCTCTGGTGCTTCTGAGTAAGAAAAGAGGGGAAGGAGCAAAAGGAGCAGTGCAGCACCCGGGGCAGTGGGGAGGGAGGAAAAAAAAAGCTCAGAGGAAAATCTGGGGTAGATAGGTAAAAAATGGGCAGCTACAAATAGAGGTTGCAAAAAATAAGCTGTAGAGGCTTGGTATTCCTCTGAAGCTGGGATACACTTAAGAGTGGCATATTCAATATATACTGTCCTTCGCACAATCTCATCTGCCTTAATTAACACTGTGAGTGCATCAACTGACACATTCAAGAAGAATATTAAGGGACTGAAAACAACCCTGCAACTAAGACCTGCAGCACAGTTCAAAAGACGATTTTTGTCATCTTTGCACATGTCCCCTGTTGCCACCACACTGTAGAGCCTCACCGCCCCTGCAAAGTGGACTTCAGGCCCCCCGTGTCACGGTTCAGACTAGCTTGTGCCGCTGGTGTGACAGTCAGTTCATCCGTCAAGCCCTATGCTGTGAAGCAGATGCTGCTGAAAGGTGGGGTATCTCCTGCTGGAATTTGCTGTCCTTCATCTTTCTCCTTTCCCTGGGGCAGGGGGATTCATCTCTGACCAGGATGGAGCGAAGCACTGCAGGGAGGTGGGGACAGAAGTAAGAGCTCTGCGGAGGATGAAGGCGGGAGAAAGGCAGTGTGCTGCCTGCTCCAGGTCCAGCCTTGCAGGCTGCTCTCCCACCCACTCTCTCAGGAAAATGGAGGAGTTGGAGATCTGGATGAGAGAGCAGGAAGAGTTGAGAGGAGTGGTAAACTGAAGGCAGCAAGCCCAGTAACAAATACACTGTAATAATATAAGCTGGATAGCAGCATCAGGACTAGAAGGAATTTATGCTAAGAATTTGCATTATTTTGCCAACCCAGCTTATGCAAATAGATCTTTACACCTGCCCAGTTTGTTCATAAACCCCTTCTGCATGAGCAATCCAGCCAGGCCCTGCTCCCAAAGATGCACCATCAAGAGTAAGTCCCCTGGTTGCTCCAGGCAGTCTCATGATGAAAGGACATGCACCAAACTCTGCATCACAGCTACTTTATGAAGCTTAACTCCATTTTGCAACAGGTTTTGCTGGAATCTGAGGTGACACATTGATGGATCAAAAACTCAGCTGTCAATATACTAAGCTTCACGTTAGTGCTGCAGATAAACAGAAGCCAAGGCATGGATAGGAAGTGCTTCTGGACTTAACCTGTATCCTAAAAGCTGATTCCCTTTAAAACTCAGTGGCAAAACTCTCAATGATTTAAGTAAAGGTGTACCAGAGCAGGTTTTACATACTTCATTTGTGGCAGCTGCCTGGACTGGGGAGAATTCCTGTTTGTGGTTCTCATGGTCAGCGGCTCCACGTATGCTTGGTGCAGTTAGTCACTCCCATCAGCGGCTACAACAAAACATAAGCTGTTCACAAAAACGGGACAAACAAGATTAGGAACCCAAAAAACCCTCACATATGACAAAACTATTTTGTGCAGTCAGAGGCAAGCGTACAGGCACTGTGAAGGGACAACTAGCAGCGGCAGCGACATCTCATGGTCAGCGGCTCCACGTATGCTTGGTGCAGTTAGTCACTCCCATCAGCGGCTACAACAAAACATAAGCTGTTCACAAAAACGGGACAAACAAGATTAGGAACCCAAAAAACCCTCACATATGACAAAACTATTTTGTGCAGTCAGAGGCAAGCGTACAGGCACTGTGAAGGGACAACTAGCAGCGGCAGCGACAGCAGCCAGCACTTCACTGCCAACAAAATCAGACCTTTGACTCTTGAGCTATAGGAAAACTCTTAGTCATAGGTAAACAGAAAATTAATAGAAGTCCCTCAAATCAAATTCAAGTGAGGGGGAAGGGAAAGAAAAAAAAAAAAGAGGCGACTAGAGTAACAGTTTTATTACTGAAGTCCTAATTATAACTGCACTGAACGGTCTATTTATAATTCAGATACATGCTGCAATTGCCTTCACAATCCAAACTGAAACAGGAACCTCAGTAATTCTTAATCTGTTTCAAAATTCAGGTAAGAGTCCCACTGAAAAAGATAAAGCGGAACAATACTACACGTGCCAATTGTGATATGGACCTGTTCGCAATGTAGATATTTCTTCCACTGTATGTGTTTGACAGCATCTTATGCAAAAGTGTCTTTCATATCTAAAAAAAGCCAAAACCGAAAAGAATATGTAGTTAGTGATTTTGCTGTACTGATTTACGAGTTTGAGAACTAAGATGTTTTTATACATACATAATACACGCTTACATACATATACATTCATTTTTAAACAAGAGCAGCCTCAAAAAACTAATTGCTTTGTACACTGAATACAATTATTCTTTTTTACTTTCTGCTTCTCGGGTAATCTTGATAATACCCAGCCATACTGATTCGTGAAGTAATTCCCATGTCACTGGACCACCCTGTTATATCACACCCCAAAATGATTCAGGATACCTCATCCACCTTGGCACCGAGTGGATGGTTGAGGTGACTGCCCTTTATTTGTACCTTCACACTAACACAGTCCACGATCAAACTTTAATACCACAAAAGACTGATCTCGGGCATTGCTGGCACCACTCTGGGCTGCAGCGCTGAGAACCGTGTGGTGACATCAGTGGCATGACCGCTGGTTGTGGCGTAGCCATGCTCTCTAAAAACAGGAGAAGTGTGTGGACACATATGAAAAACCCTGTCCTTTGCATCTCACTCTGATTTTTATCAAAAAAAAAAAAAACCCAAACCCCAAACCCAAAACACTCCAGAGTGAATAATTTTCAAATCCGTTGACAAGCTTCACTAAAGCAGAGACTGAATCTCATGAATCTAAGAAATGAAACGAGGGAGAGATTTTCTTCGTTAAGAAACCTGATGGTGGCATTCATCTTTTTATTAAAATTAATGGCATTTAAGAGGGGCTGTGTCTTTGCAAAGTATTTTTACAGCTATGTCTGTCAGTTTCCCGAATTTTATAGAACATTTTTATACATCTGTTTTGCATTTGGCTTTTAGTTTTAATGTTTCCTGTTCATTAAATCACAAAACTAATAAAAACTAAATGATCGAGATTTCTCCAGCAATACAGGAATGGTCCTAATGCACAGTGTTATAATTTAATAAGCATCTCAATTGACTATTAAACTCCACATTATGATCAGAACTGTAATTCCAAAGATGAGGTCTTCTGAAAGCTTAATTTACTGCAGAAGGGAAGTGGCAGCTGCTTCAACTCAGCAAAACTAGCTTTTTTTTAACTTAGATGCCGGGGAAAACAGATGTAGATGAGACAATAACAAGAACAACAACAAAATCCACCACCAACACACAGGTTCATTTCTCATCACCAGAAGATTCAAGAAGGACTTCTACAGATACATTAGCAGTGAAAGGGAGGCAAAGGAAAATGTGGACCCAATGGAGGACAAAATAGGGGGACCTAGTGACAAAGGACATGGAAAAGATGAAGGGACTCGATGTCTTCTCTGCCTAGGGCTTTGCTGGCATGGTCTGTTCTTGGCCTCAGTGCACCAAGCAGCGGAGTCTGGGGCCATGGAGCCTCACTCACACTGCAGAAGACTGAGTTGGAGACCACTGAAGCAAACCGGGCATTTTCAAGTCCATGGGACCATGTGGGATGTATCTGTAGGAGCCAACACGACTGCAAAGCTGCTCTTCTCCTGTGCAAGGAGAGGTTCCTGATGACTGGAAAAAGGCAAGTGTCATAGCTGCTTTCACAAAGGACAAGAAAAAGGATCTGCGGACCTCAGCCTCCAAAAAGATCATGGAATAAGCCCTCCTGAATTTGCCATGTCCACGTACACCGAGGACAAGATGATTTGGAACAGCCAGCACACATTTACCAAAGGCAAACTGGGCCTGGCCAACCTCCTCACCTTCTGTGATGGAATGGCTCTGTGAGCTAGGGTAGGGCAACGGGCAATGTGCACCTTGACCCTAGGAAGGCTTTCGCTTTGTTGGGACAGGCAGACTGCAGCGTGGGTGGAAAATGAGCTGAAGCGCTGGGCTCAAAGGGCTGTGATCAGCAGTACAAAGTGCAGTTGGTTACTAGTGGCATCCCTCAGCTTTCGGTAGCAGAACCGATGCTGGTTTATCTCTGTGCTACTGACCTGGACAAGAATTAATCCTCAGGAAGCTGGCTGATGACACCAAGCTGGGGAAGCAGTTCCTACTGCTGGAGGCACTTGGAGGGGCCTCGGTGGGCAGGTTGGCAGGAATCCCTGGAAGTTCAGCAAAGGCAGAGTGCTGTACCTGGCATGGAGTAACACTGTGCTGTGGGACAAGCTGGGTCCTGCCTGCCTGCAAAGCAGCTTTGCAGGAAAGAGTTGACGGACGAGTTGAGTATGAGCAAGCAGCACATGCTCGCAATGAAGAAGGCCGACTGCATGCTAGGCCGCACGAGCAAGAGTGCGGCCAGAGGGTCAAAGGGGAGTGGTTCTTCCCCTCTACGAGGCAGTTTGTGAGCTTACATCTGGACACCGTGTCTAGTTTTGGGCTCCCCAGCAGAGACATTGACATCCTGGAGTGAGTTCAGTGGAGAGCCACCAAAATGAGGGGGCTGAAGCACATGATGCACAAGGAAAGGCTGAGAAAATAGCTCAGCTTGAAGAAGAGAAGGCTCCAGGGAGATTCTACAGCAGTCTACAAGTACCTAATGGGGGGGAGATAGAGAAGACAGCCAAACTCTTCTTGAAGGTTTACAGCAAAATTGAGAGACAATAGGCACAAACTGCAGCTAGAAAAATTCCTGTTAGATGTAAGGAGAAAATTCCACAGAATGGGGATGGCCAAACACTGAAACAGGGGGTGCAGAGAGAGCGTGAAATTTCTGTCCTTGGAGATACTCAAAACCTGACTGCACACAGGCCTGAGCAACCTAATGTGACCTCAAGGTTGTCCCTGCTTTGGACCAGGAGACTGCAAGACATCTGTTCCAAACTGATTTATTCTAAGAGTTCAGCTGTGATGGTAGCAGCATCCTGCAACTGACCTACTACAGTAAGGAATGTGCATCTGAACACAAATCTATTTTTACCTTAGAAATATCAGGACCATTTTTCTGTTGTTACTATTTCCCCCTCTCTGAAGGTTGGAGATGCAGGGCAACAGCTTTTTCATGCCTTAAAAAAATACAACAGAAAATACGTCAACATTGCAAGCAAAAGCACAAAACAGCACTGGTTGGAATATCAGCATTAGCTTCAATACGTCTTGGGTGACGGAAGGAAAGATGTAGTGTTGTGGTCTGGAGATGGGGCAGGCAAGGCAACGAGGTATATACCTGGAATCAGAGTCTGGAGCAGCAAAGCCTGTGCTGAAATCTAGACTGCTGCTGCTGGAAGCAGAGCAAGCCAGATTAAAGCTAGTTTAGACGCATGTGGAGGAAATCCTCCATGTAGAGGACAGATGGTTGTGGTGCGATTCTAGTTTGCGGAGAGACAGGCTGCCACCAAGTTGAACAGCGTCGCCTTCACAAAAGCAAAGTCCTGTCTCTAGTTCCTGGCCTCTGCTGAATTTCAAGCTTTGGGCAACCCCTACCCACCTACTGAGGCACTGCAGCCTGGTTCTCTCTCCAGCGTGAGAAACAGGGTCTCAGGACTACAGCTGTCCCTAACTTCTGAGCTGTGGGTGCCCACCCACTCCTAAAGACACAGATGCCTTCAGAAGTGCCAGAGGCAGCTGGATCCATCATAGCCAGCTCTGAGCACCAAGAGCTTAAAAAACCCCAAGCTCTTCCTGCACGGTTGGCCCTTGCAACGCCAGCTGAGCTCAGCAGTTAGCGAGCTGATACGCAGAAGTCTCCTTCACAGAGATGTTGCTCCTATTGAGGTCCTACAGCTCCCCAAAGGGATCCCCTTCTCCCTCATGACCACCCAGCCTGGGAAAAATGCCTAGCTCAAGGCTGAATAAGGGGATATTTTATTACCTTTCCCCTCTTCGAGCACTGGCCACAGAGGTCGCTGTCACGTCGTGTGGTCAGAATGCAGATGTACCCCCAGCAGGTGACTCTTCCCAACTGTTTGCCAGAGGTTCAGTTAAAAAAAAAAAAAAAAAAAATATCAATAGAACAGCAAGTGGTGGCTGTCGTGCCCACCCGTTCCCCCTGCAGTCACTCAGGTTTGCTGCCCCCTCGCTGCAGCATTCACATTAATTCTCGTATCTCCTAAGTAGAAAAGGGTCAGTCCTGAATTTCTAGCAAAACATGAAATCAAGTAATACCTAAAAAAAAACCAACAAAAAACCAGGACAAAACTATTCTGACTTTATATACTGCCACAGATAATTTTAAGAGTGTTATTTTTCCCCTGATGCAGGGGAAAAGCAAAAGGCTGAGGAAATGGATGTATTCAAGAGAGAGAACAGACACTAGCTTTCCAAGAACACATGCTACTTATCAAATGTATTGCTTAGGCTAGTGAATATTCCAATCATTAAATTCTTTCTTCTCAATCTCCACTCTTCTCAACCTCGATGGAGTTTTACAAGCAGCCTTCTCATACAGACTGAGGGATGGAAGTTGGTGCACGCGGAGGTACCTGTGTATGCAAACAAAAGCACATTACGTTTGTATAAATGACTGGACATAGCTAATAAAACCAACTGTTCGCTGTTGCTTTCTTACAGCTTTTTATGCCAGCATCTCAAAAAACTTTGTTTAAAAGGAGATCTTTAAGTGTCTTGCTTAAAGCTGCATGTCTTTGGACTTGCTAGCCAGTACAATATACCCTCCTACAGTTTATGCTTGATCTACAACCTGTTATTTAGCAAAACAAATCATGAAACTTCTTATACAAATCACCACACTCCTTAACTGATCAGGTGATGCTAACAGAGGACTTCCCAACTCAGCGATCGCCCACTCAGCCGCACATTTCAGCCAGCCAAGCCAGGAAGCACTTTGGGATGTAAATTCCAGCCATCAAGAAACATCAGGAGGGGCTTCGACCATCAGTTCACCCGAGAGAGGGGTTTTGCTCGTAGCTGGCTTCAGCAGCTGCAAAGGGAAGTTTTCCTCTGAAAATCCAAATGGTTCTCGTCACGCAAGGTTGGTGCCATGGTTGTGAATTTTCACTCACCTCGCTGGCTAAGCAGCCTTCCTCCGCACACCCTTCCCCTTGAAGATCAACCTTCTACCGTTCAAGGCACGTCTAGGGAAGGAGAAGCGTTGGTTTCACACCTGGCTGATGAACTAACCAGCATAACAAGTGGAAAAAAAACCCAACATCTACCAACTAGTATGTTTTTCTGCTCAGGGTGAGCTCACACACATCTAGTGCCAGTTTAAAATACAACAGGTCTTGTAACAAGTACTTTCACGCAGAAGTACTCAACTCTTTTGCACGCATTTGATCTAGTTAGGGTTTTTTTAATCTAATAAAATAACCTATGTAGTGACAGTCTTGTCCACGACCATAAAGACAATGAACAGAAGCCAGCTCCATGATTTTGTATCAGGATACAGAATAAACTTCACAAAACAGCAAAAAAAAAAAAAGGAATTACTCAGTATTTTTTGCACAGACAGCTGGTTTTTGATACTTTATTTTCAGAACTGCTGTAGAAAAACCTGACCATTTTTTTTCCCCCAAAGCAAAGTCAAAAACTCAGTTACTGCTTTGAGGGTTTGGGGTGAACATGCAACTTGCGGACTTCTCCAGGAAAAGGAGCATGAGGTTCTGCGTGGTTTAGGCTACTCACAAGGTGGGGGGGAAAGAAAAAAATTCTAGCTTTGCAAAAGGTGTCTGTTGAGAACACTACTGAGTGGAAAACAGATGAGCCAAGTTTTGCCAGAGTCTTCACTAGGAGCAAGACTGGAAATTTAAACCTTGCATGACGCACAAGACTGGTTCATCTCTAGGGACTCATTTTTCAGACAGAAGCCCTTGTAATTCGTGCTGGTGGCAGTAATGGTTATCCAAGATTTTCTTCTTCCTGGTCTGAATATCAAGGAGCGAATTCCACAATCTGGGAGAGGCTTAAAAAGAGCCGGTTCAGTGAAGCGCGCTCAGTCCCATTCAGCAGAAGAACCGCATGGTGTGTCTCAGCAGAGCGGAGCTAGCAGTGAGCCTGCTGCAACGGGGCAGCTCACCGTGCCGTCGGGGAAAAGATGGGTTTCAGCATCCGCTCCACTTACAGGGCTGCTCACGAACCCTCCTCTAGCTTACAGCAGGCACAGCCAGGACTTGCAGAGGAAACAATTCAAAACCGTCACATACTTTGTGCTGATAAGTAAAATAAACAAAATAAAGTGGATAATGTACTTGGAGATAACCTACTTGCCCCCAGCTTTGGCATGCAGGTGGAGATACTCTAGATTACCACTGGACATCACAGCTTGCAGAACTGATCAAAGGAGTAATAACAGCTATCAATATAACTACACTTGCAGCAAAATAAAAAAAGGAGGATTTCTCCTTGTTCCAGTTTGTAATTCAGCTAGGAATCAGAAAAGTTCATGCACTTGTACAAGAGCAATAAAAAAAATTAAATATTTATTTTGAATAACAAGCTTAAGTTCAAGCTGCAATGTTGGCAATGTAGATTTTAAACACAGATCACAAAAGCGTGCACAAAAATGTATCTGAGCAAAGAACAAAATAATACTAAGAATTATACTAAACAGCTGCTGATTTTAAAGAAACAAAAAAGGCTTGTAATCACTATACAAAATATAAAATGTTTTTAACACTATCATCCACAGAACAGAGGTTTATTTTAGTTTGATTATATTTAAAAATTATTTGTGTAGTTATTTATATAGTGAATTGTAAATGAATATTATACAGTAACCTCCTTTTGGTCTGCAAAACCTTTGTTGCACTATAGCACATCCAATCACATTGCAAAAAAAGAATTACTTTTCCTTACTATCAATAAAGAAAACAATCATTGATAATACAGTAAATATTGTCAGGTCTACAAATAATGAAATTAAAAATGACTCCTTCGACTCTGAAGCGCTTTCCATGCAAAGTCAGCACTTGCTCGTTTAAACAGAGTGCACTACCAAGCAATGTCCAGGGTCGTAGATGCTCTTGGTAAGACTAAACCTTACAAAAAAAAAAATTAAAAAAAAAAAAAAATCAAAGATTGAATGTAATCATGCAACCCCCGTACTACTGGGTATACCCACTGTGTCGCTTATCAATTTATTGCCTTTCTGGAATATCACGCAAGGCATCAAAATTAGACTTATGATAAATATACATATAATGAAAGGACACAAACTGCTATTCGACACTACTACTGGTAATGTCTGTGCTACGTGAAAGCACCTTTAAAAAGAGCCTATGCGGCAAGAGATAAGTGTCTAAAGATTCAAAATGAATCAACAGTATTGGATAACAATATAATTCTCAACTTAGAAGCTGCCTCAAGATTAGGTGCATCTTCAGTTAATGTAACAGGAAAAAAAGGCAATGGATTTTATTTTATTAATTGTATCCACTCAAACGGACCTAAGGCCACCAGATGTGCAGACACAACAAGTTTTCTTTTCTTTTTACAGTTCTTTAAATTGTAGGATGATAAAGGAATAGATCTATTTAAAAACAAACAGCTATTTCATCTATATTAAGAGGTGGCACCAGGCGTCGGGTTCACGTTCTGAGTGGCCACCTGTGGTGCGACTTCAATGATTCGTGGTTTGTCTATAATTCTGGCCGTGCGGTTGCCCTTCTCTACAATGCCGATAATCCATGCTTGGTGACCTTCACCGTATTTTGGAGACTTGATCTCGGCACAGAAGCGTGCTGCCTGTTCTCGTGGTAAACAGATGAGGAGGCCTCCTGCAAAGAAAAAAAGCAGAGCATTAAAACATCTGACGGCAAAGCACTTCAACCTTGATCTGTCAAATCCTTACTTAGACAAGTACTTGGTGACTCCAGTGGATTCTGTCGAACTCCAAGGACTCCAAGAGAAGACAAGGTGGAAGACTGAGCTCTTGCTTTACAGAAGGAAGTTTGTGTCTGAATTCAGCATTTAGTGGGTATGTAAACGAAGCCAAATACATACAAAAGATGTTGGCAAAAGGACATCATACTGATGCCAATAAATGACATACTGAAACACCACCAGCATTGTAAACTTCCAACAGAGAACTGCAAAGTGCCTCTACACGGAAACATTTTGGATAAAGGTCATATTCAGGTACCTGTAACCACATATTGGTAGCAGCTGATTCTGCAAGTAATCCCACTGCCTGCAAAGAAATCATTCATCGAAGCAGGGACTATTACCAGAGAATGCAAGAGGCAGAAAATTAAACATAGGCTTGATCCAGTGCTCCCCGTGACAGCCCTTTTGACCCCCTTGTTAGGGAATATTCTAACCTTTTTTAGCCTTTCCCGTAAGATTTTTTCTCAGAGACAAACGAAAAATATTTTATTTACTAATGAATGCTTTTCAGAAGCAGCACAATAACTAGTTAACAAGCTTGCCATTCAGTTATTAAACCTAAGAACACTTCCATTATAAGAATCCCAAAGCACTGAAAAAGGTGGCTTGGCAAGTGAATTACTAGAATGAGTTTCATTGTCAGCTCTGGCACAAATTTCCAGGGGGCTCTGACCAAATCATTAAAGGTTTTGGCGCTACCCTTTACTACTAGAGTATTCAGCTTTTCTATAACCCTTACCTTTTTTACATTTATGCTATGTTGCAAACGTGTGAAGCACTGCAACACAGAGCAGCAAACTCATCTGCAGATGCCTAATTAAACCTCAAAGCATTGTACAGTTTGCACAGCTCACGTCTGTACACCGTGCTGTATTCTGGCACACAGCAGCCTCTCATAAGGGATGTTAAAATATCGTCTCCCATTGCAAAATGTTTGGAGAACACAGGCAAGAGAGTATATTCATGCAAACCGGAATTTGGGCACGTGCTGAGGCTTACTTACTCTTAAAGTTACTTGACCCAAAGTCTTCTTGTCCGGGCAAAGGGCATCAGCCAGCAGCACAAGTCGTGCCACCAGCTCTGAGCCAGTGCTGGGGGTGAAGGGCCGCCTGGTGAGCCGGCCACCCGGGGCTC